AGCTGCAGGCGCATGGGTGTGGACGGGGCTGTGGATGGAAGGAAAGGGGCGCGAGACGGGAGGCGCATGGGTGTGGACGAGGCTGGGGGAAGGAAGAGACGGGAAGTGCATGGGTGTGGACGGGGCTATAGGGAAGGCAGAAGGAAGGGGGCGCGAGACGAGGCTAAGAAAGGAAGGGAGGGAAGCGAGACGGGAGGTGCATGGGTGTGGACGGGGCTGGGAAGGGAAGAGGGAGGGGCGCGGGACGGAGGTGCATGGGTGTGGAGGGTGGTGGCGAAGGAAGGGAGGGAGCGAGACGGGAGGTGCGTGGGTGTGGACGGGGCGAACGAAGCATGGAGGGGGCCAATGCTGCTCCATGCTTCGCGGCAGAACGCTGTTGTGCGAGTGGAGCGATCTTGCGCGACTGATATGGCTGCTCCGGGTCAGTTCACAAGTAGAACGAAGCCTGGGTGGGGGTAGTTCTGCTCCATGCTTCGCGGAAGCACGTTCTGACGCGAGGGGAGCTGTGCTGCAGGACTTAAATGATTGTCTTGGGTGTCCAAATGTGCACAACGCATGCGCCAGACAGTCAAGTCATGGCCGGAGCGGCAGGATCGTTGCATGCCAGAACCGCTAATGCTTGAAATTTGATGGTTGGAACGAAGCATGGAGGGGGCTGATGCTGCTCCATGCTTCCTGGAATGGTTGTCAGAGGCCATGTTGCAATGGGGTTGGAGACTAGCTGCAGAGATTGAAAACAACCACTTGATATAGATATAGATATATAATATATATATATTTATAATACATCCAACCCAACCTCCAACCCGACTAAAAAGGGAACCGTCTTGTTTTCTCCTTACTGCAACGATATTTCTATCTAGTAGGGTCTATGCCGGTGTAAATTCTTAAGATCGAAGTCCGCAAAGGTTTGTTCGAGAAATACAAACGACAAATCCTCTCCTCCTGGGATATCTCCGCCATATCGACGCCCTGATCATGCCAACGATGCACGCCACGGGAAATCTATGCCACAAAATTTAACACTAGACGACGAATGGCCCGAAAGCATCTTACCGCGTGTGATGCACAGCAATACACATGCGTGTGCTTTTCCCAAAAGAATCTCCGATGCTTGGGTTCTCCTTTAGTTTAGTCGTTAGTGGGGGGGGCAGAGCGAGACGAGGCAAGCATTTTCGTGGCCGGCAGATGGGTGTGTGGACGTGGCCATGGATGGAGATGGGAGGGGGGCCCCTGGACGGGGCCCTCGAAGGAAGATGGATGCTAAGTAGAACGAAACATGGGGGGGGCTAATGCTACTCCATGCCTCGCGGAAGAACGGTATTGCGCGAGTGGAACTGTCTGGCGCGGCCTGGGTGCCCAGAATGTGTGCAATGTATGCCAAAGACAGCCCAAGTCATTGCAGAAACGGCAGGGTGGTTGCATGCCAGAACCGCAATACTGGCCAAGGGGTCGACGGGGTGTGTATGGCAGACGGGGGTGGACGGCTGCGCACCAGAACTGCGATGCTTGAAAAATCATGGTTGCCACAAAGCCTGGGGGGGGCTGATGCTTCGTTTTGGCCTGCCGATGTGTGTTTGTTTATTTTTTCTGGGTTGCGCGCTTCTTTTTGCTTTTGGGTCCGCGGGCTCACCTTGTATATTACCTATTTTTTGAAACCTTGTTTGTTTATTGTGGACCAATTATGGACGACCCTGACTGGCTAAGGACTTGTTCTTGCTCGCTGGCATGCTTGTGATCCTGGACATGGGCTCCCTGTTTGTTTTAAACATTGATGGCCCGTCCACGGCTGCGATTTGCATCGTTTTCTCCACGGTGATGTTCATTTCAATTGTCGCAGCAGTTTTCTACGGCATTGCAAAGCATGTGATGCTCAAGTATCACAAGCCATTTCGCTATTTTGTGTGCCATCAGAAGAATGCAGCAGGCAGCTGAAATTCTATAAGTGCAAACACCATTGTTTTTCTTGTTTTCAAGAAACTCTTTCTGAACAGAGAAATATTTGTTTTTGATATGTTCATTTGTCGTGTTGAAGGTAGCTATGCTCGCCTTCTGAAGATTGAGCTGCAGAAGCGGGGTCCTCGCTTCAGCACGTTCATCGACTGTGACGACCTGAATGATCTGACGAAGTTGTCTCTCGACACTCAAACCAAGTCGAAACCTTCATCATTTCATGTCATCTCAATTCATATCATTTCCTGAGATTTTGTTCCGAGGTTTAGCTATGTTGGTCAGGATACACAGACTCTCTTAATTCTTGGATCTCCACAGATTTTGACACGGAAGTGGTGCGTGGGCGAGATGGTGACTGGCAGGATTGAGAATGTGCACACAGTCTTGTTGACCTTCCCAGGCTTTGTGATGCCTGATGAGAGTCTCTCGGTTGAAAGAAACACTCCAGAAGGACTGGCCATGGTGCTTTTTTGTCCGTCCTGGGGTCCTCGAACGAATGTTTTCCTGAAGAGCAAAGCATGTTGATTGATTTAATTTACTGTGTCATACTTGTACTTTAGGCGCTTTAGGCTTCCAGACAGTTCCTGAGTCTCACTGCCAGCTGTTGAGGTTTTATTGAGACTTACACCACTCTTGTGCCTGATATCACCGAGCCTCGCCTCAAGATCAGCCACAATTTACAATTCCCTATTTTGTTATCAACATTTCTTGGTGCTATTGAAAACCAAGGAGCTTGCCAACTACAACATTGGTCTTGACGAAGTCAAGGAAACCTTGAGATGGATCAACACCGTTTCCACTGTAGACGTGCCTGCTCTCATTCACCCGGAGACCATCACTGATGTGGTGAATGCCTTGACAGACACTCGAAGGGCAGCATCAACCAATGTGGATGCCCACCAGGAGTCTTGTAAACAACAATTACAGTATGCGAACGCATGCAACAATATGCTAACGTTGCATCCTGTTGTGCTTCTTTGCTGCGATGCTTTGCTACGATCGGGTTGAATGTTATGAAATTGTTTCGTAAGTCGTGCTTGTTTGCCGCGTTGGACTTGACCCTGAGGAGTCTGGGTGTCTCATCCTTGTGGATCTTGACAATATGGAAGCTTCAGCGTCGGCATTTGTTTTGCTTGGCCTGATCCAGAAGAAGGTGATTGCTGGTGTTCAGGGTTCGGTTCCGCATGTACTGATGAAGCTCGGAAATTGTTTCACTGGTTCCACTCAAGTGCAAGAGCTTTTGACATCTTTTGACCTTTGCTTGTCGTGGAAATACTTGATCAGTTGTTTTGAATGTGCCGATACTAATACAAAAAGAGAGTTTCCCTTGTTCAGCAGTGGTGCCGCGCAAAGGAAAGGCAACAAGGTTCCTCCTACCGTCCAGTCTGTGCTTTTGATTTGCAGTGACTTGGTCAGAGAGGTATCGGCAGTCGGCAGTGGCTTGTGTGCCAATTGTGACCAGCTTTGTTTTTCCAAATTGGACCGATGTGCGCCACTCAACAAGGATTAGAATTATATAGACGTGATTGACCAGTGTCTTTGTCCTTGAGTGGGTACACTACCCACTGGGGCCGGCCCGTTGCAGGCCCGTTCGTCACAGGCCCGTCGAGAGCGGGGCCCGTCGGGCCCGTCGACGGTCTGTCATACGTGAGATACTAAATTACTAAAGGCAGCGTAAGGCAGCCGTGTCTTCTTTTCCAAACTGGCGCGAGGATTATTTTGATTTCAAGCTTAAATGCAAAGCTTAGCCAGGAGATTCCTCAAGCTTTTTGCGCAGATGCTACAAATGAGTCTACAGTAGCTGTATAGCAACTCTAAACTTTGTGTCTAACATGCTGCAACATGCGATGAACTTGCCTCAACCCAACAAATTTGCACTGTAGATCAGGCGCTGTAGAGCGATATATGCGCGGATGGGACCAATGGATGAGTTGTGCAGTGTGTGTGCAGATAGTCAAAAGCATATGCTGTCCGTATCTGGGGCCTTAAAAACGCAGGCTGTGTGCTGGTGCTTTTAGTTTGCTATAATGTCGACGTAGGACTCATATTACGGGACCCCCCCCTCCCCTTCAAGGTCAACAAGGTCTGAGATCGGAGGTATTTGAGGACCACATCCCCTTAATAAAGATGATGACCTGATGATGGATGATGAGATGAGGACGTGGACCTGATGATGGATGATGGTTGATGGGGTTCTGTGCCATGAGAAGCCATCAAAAGGATTGGTGAGCAGAATGAGGCAGTTGAGAGGTGGTGGTGAGAATCAGGAAGATGAGGAGCTGAAGATATTCAATGCTAGCAAAAAAGAAGCTAATGAAAAATTATCAATACAATAGTAAACTATATTTTTTCTGGGGCAGCTGGGATTGATTAATACGGGGAGGTTTCTGCTAGGAAAAAAGTTATTAGGGTGATGCCAAGGTGGAAATCTAGGTTTTAAATTAGTTTAGTACTGGGGGGGTCGAGCTGGGATTGATTAATAGGGGGTGGTTACTTGATTAATCCTATGTGCGCATTGCAGGGTGCGTTTCAGGTTTGCTTCGTTTTGCTTTGCCGCACTTGTCAGAGAACACAACTAGTAACAACTAGAACAGATGAGCAACAACTTTCACTTGGGTTTTACTAAAGTCGTCTACGGCATGCTCTATGTCTACTTGCTTGTCTATCAGCAGTATTTGCTTGTGAACGAGATAGGCCCCCACATAAAGGAGATACTTTTGCTTGATGCTAAAGTAGTCTGAACGAGATAGTGTGATTTGCTACTAAAATAGTCCCAACGAGATACTGTGACATGACCTTCTACTTAAGTAGTCTAAACAAGATGGGGCCCCCACATAATAGATAGTGTGTTTGAATTTAGTACCAAATAAATACCGCTGCACAAATAACTGCTGCACTCTGCTCTTGTTGCGCGCGCCAGACACACAAACAAACACTATGTGGTAGAAAGAAAGTTGTACCTCACGAGCGCGGGCCCGTTGGCCCGTTGCCCGTCGGGGGCCCGCTGGGGGCCCGTCGGGCCCGTTGGGCCCGTTGCCCGTTGTGGCCAGTTGGGCCCGTCAAGTGTTTGACCCCAGTGGAGATTTCTTTTGAGTTGAGACAGGATGCACAGAATTGAATTGGGATTTCGGAACACGATGGTTTCTGACCATGACTTAGGCGATGGCTGCTTTTCCTCGCTCAACATTGCGCGCTGGCTTCTAGAAGTGCTGCAAGTGGCGACTTGTTCTTTGCCACTTGGAGGATCGAACAAACAGACAAACATTACGCAGCAACGGCAACTTGGGAGGAACCGCTTCCAGTGCCTTTGTGCTGAGGCTGCCCATAATCGCGGAAGATGGATTTCGATTCCCATCGGATTCCTTCTATGACCAATTGGTTGCCAATCCTGAACTTCAAGACCTAGATCTTGCATCTAGCCTGCCACGAACGCTCGCACTTGCGTACACAAATTATGTAGTTAGTTATTTTTTACTTAAATGATCATTTCTGCTGCGTTGTGCTTTGTGCAGAAGATGTCAGAAAACCGACAGCAGTATTCAAATTTGTCTCCAGCTGAGGACACTTATGTGAGAATCATCAAGGGAGTCTTCCAGGATAGTTCAAGCAGACAGCATTCAACAGATGTTTAGGGTTGCAAACCACAGCACTTTCTTCAGAGAAGACTATTGCAATGTCATTGCACCGGGGCTCACCCAACAATTAAGAACAAATAACGTTCTTGTTCCTAGTAGTAAGGCCAGGAGCCCCTAGTAGCGTCCTTGCTCCGAGTAGCGATGCCCTTTGTTACTAGTAGTTTCTTGTTCCTAGTGGAAAGGCCAGGAGCTACTAGTTCGCGTAAGCAAACCTGAATGTATGGAGAAAAGCACAAAGTGTCACTTCTGGCTGCTGACTTGTGCAAGAAACTCGTGTAGAGAACTAGCCGAGAAGTTTGGAATGTTGCGTTTGTGTAGCAACAAACTTCAGTGGGGAAAACGGTTATGATTTATTTATGTTTTAAAGTGTGAAGCTGAATGACAAGGCCGCTTACCAGAGACCATGCAGAAGATATAAATAATAGGCCTCGAGAGCAAGAAAACTTCGACGACACTCGTTCTGAGACGAGGTTTTGTTATTCATCTTAACTAGGCAAGAGAACCAAGAGAGCGATAGAGAGACATGATTTGAGACTCAAGAGGTTCTCGTATACTGCCGTAGTATGCTGTTGTTTGTCCTCCAGGAGATTGCTGTGGTTTTTTCACCACAAAACTACTCGTCCACAGCAGAGGATTTAGAGCTCCGCGCTTCACAGGCCCACCCTGTTGCGGCATATATAGCCATTTGTGGCGTTGCAAAACGCACACGTTTTTTGTGCATTTCGAAAACCGCATCCTAGTAGGTGGCATGGCGTTTGCAGAATGGTTTGCAACCTTTGGCGACCAAAGTGCAGCAGGGAGAGCTTCAGGTGATCATGAAAGTGTTTGTTGAGTTTGTTCCGTTGAAATGCGAATACATTCTATAGAGAACTTCTCAAAGATTGATGCCTTTTCCACATGGAAAGTGAAAGCCTTTGCCATGAGGTGAAGAAGCCTCGTGCAGAAGATCAAGAAGTTGACATGGTTAGAGAAATATTTGAGATGGTAGACCCAGGACCTGTAATGGTGATGCAATTGTGATCCTATTGGTGTGTTTAGACCTTCTTAAACCGTCACAATAACAAGTTTATCAGACTTGGGAGAGCTCAAAGTTAGACTGCCTTGTTTTTCAGATGTTTTTGTGCCTGTAAAAATGGTCTAAGAAGGTTCTTCTCAGTGCTCGCAGAGCACTGAGCACCACATGTTCGGCAGCTGGCAGCCATGGCCATGGACATGGACTCACTGCGATGAGGTTGTCGACCCTTCGTGACAATGGCTCAAAGGCAAACGGAAGGGTGCACAGAAAGGGTTTTGCAAAAACCTATTCTACTAACGTCGTGGAAGGCGCGTGACCTTCGTAGAACCCAAGGCTGTTCGTGGACAGTTCGTGGAATGGTGGGCCAGTAGGAGAACTGACTGCAACGAAATCCCAGAAACCTTCGCAGAACTTCGTGGAAGGTATTTTTGATGCACTATCTTCGTATAAGCATGTATAAGCGATTTTTGCTGACCCCCTTTCTCCACACACCCTCCGTTTAGCCTTCAATGGCTTCGTGGCCAAGCCGGAGCGAATCGCTCGGATTTATACATGTGTTTTCTATTAGATTGTGTTTGCGCTGGGGACGGGGATCCCAGAAGCGAACACATGGACTTTAGTCCCATCCGAAGTCCTCAAGAAGTGTTTGGACGCGTGTTGTGAGCATATTCAGCCACTTTGGGGAAGTAGTGCCAAATTTTGGAGAGGTTTTGGAGACGGAGGATAGACCAAATTAGCAGATGGGGATCCAACCAAGTAAACGATCGAAACATTAACATGCAGGCACACAATGGCACACAAACATACTTAGGTGATGTAAGTGGATCCCTGGACTGAAAAAAGATGGTTGAAGTATCAGTTTTGCAGGCCTAGGCTAGAGGACCTAGCTTGCGGCCTGGATTCAGCGAATTGTTGCCCAAGTCGGCAGATAAGTCGGCCGAGGTGCATCGCTACTAGTAGCAAGAAGTTACTAGTAGCCAAGGGCATTATTACTAGTAGCAAGAAGCTTGTAGCCATGGACGGTAGACATTGACAGAAATTGCATTGCCCAAATGCTCGAGTGACCACCCATTAGATAGCAGCTGAAGCTCGACATGCGACGTGAATTTCAAGAAGCTCAACGCTGGTGAAGTCGGAAATCGACAGTAGCCTGCAAGTCATGTCAACTCGTGCTCCCAAAGGGATACTGTAAGAAAAAGAATCACTCTCTTTGCATATGCAGTGGTGGCTCAGCCGCCAGTGCATGAATGCATGAATGCAATGCCTGCCAGCTTCATGTTTGCAATCTGATCGTTTGCTGATTGCTTCACTGTTCAAGCCTGCCTGTACTTGTATGTTTGGATTTAATGATTACAACTAGGTCGCGCGTACTTGAATAATGGAGAAGCTGGAATTGGCTTTGCGTACCTGCCTTCCAAGTACACATGCATGCAGGTTCCATGAGCAGAACTCAACCAAGGAAAATAGGTTTTTGTTCTTTCCTGGATGACATGACTCTAACACAGCGCATGCATCCGTGAAAACCATACAACAGAGTATGACGCAGCCTGAAACAGTTGATTAACTTTGACTTTAACCACAGGTTCTTTCTTCAACCTCCAAGCTCGTTATTGCAAGCGCTGTTTGCGCTCTTCAAAAAGTCGCTATGGCGAAGACCTTGAACACGTTCATCGTGCCCATCGTTTTGCTCCTGCAGGTCAGAGATCTCAGTGGGAATGCGTTCAAAAGGTCTATGTAGTAGTTTTTGTTACTACTAGCGTGGCACTTGTTACTACTAGCGTGGCACTTGTTACTAGTTTTTGTGATTGAAAAGTAGAAAAGGGAAGATTGGTTTCACATCTGTCGTGGTGTCTTTGGAAACCTGTCCCTTGAGGCTTTCGCAGAAGAGGCCCAGACCTTAGTTCTCGAGCGAAAATGTCAACCTCAGTCACAAACCTAGAGATCTTTTGCTCCTAGTAACCGTCCTTGCTCCTAGTAGCGATGCCCTTTGTTACTACACGATCTTGACTCGCGTCCCTTCCTCCCAACCACCAGTTGCCTCCAAAGCCTTTTCAAAACGTTTGCGGCTTGTAGACATGTGATGGGACATTGGGCGACGCCTCCTTCAGCAGTCTACCTGTTAAATTGGCGGCGAAAGCCTCAGGTGCAGCTTGAACAGCTTGTGCAGAAGGAGGCAACGTATGGATGTTTCATGATGTGTGTTTTTGTGTTTTTGCTCTCGTGTCATTGTCCTGTTGGAACTCGTTGCCCAGGTATTGCAAAAGCAAGATGTATTGAAAAAAGAAATAACCGCGCTCTTAGAAGCAGAGCGACAGAGCAGACAGAAGGAAATCAATGAGATTGATGGGAAAATCGGCGCGAAGGTGAAAGAAATGCGAGACGAGGCTGAACAGATGCAAGTGAAAACTCAAGATGCTCTCGCCAAGCAGATCCAGGACTGCGTTTAATCTTCCGAGAAAATACACCAAGAGGATGCCGGGCAAAGCCTGCATCATGTATATACATTATTGATCATTATTGTGTGTAAACTCAATATTGTTTTGTTGCAATTCTTCCAAAGCTCTCCTTCTAGTTGTTTAAACATGTACTGCAGGTACTGCATGTTCGGTGTCGAGCAGAATCCATCTGTGCGTGATGTGCGTTTCTTCCTGCCCAACACTGTCCTAGGGCCGCTGAATACTGTCCCTTTCTCATTTGTCTTCCAGTAGCTGGGGTGCCTGCTTCAAATTCACCCTGGCAAGTTTCTGGTCCCAAAACTCGTGGTTTACTCTTGCTATGTGCATATTCTGAAAAAGCCACCAACTGTTGTGGTTATGATACAGTATATGTTTTCTCAGAACCCTGTTCTTGCAGGAGTTGGAAGGCAAGCTTGCCAAACAGCAGAAAGAAAGTGACGAAGCCTTGAATGCAGTAAAGAAAAGCGTGGCAGACCAAGTTGCAACAATGGCAACAGCACTTGAAGAGTATGCAAAAACATTGACTCAGCAGAGAGAAGAAGCTTCGACCAATCTGCAAAGCCACAAGAAAGAGTTTGCTGAGCACAAGGAAACTACCAGCAAAGGGTTAGACGCGCACAAACAGGCGTTGGAGAGCTACAAATCCGAGATTACTAAAAGCTTCGCAAGTCAGCAGCAAGAGCTGGAAAGCCACAAGAAAGTAGCAGCAGAGCAGATTGAGTCACACAAGAAGGAAGCAAGTGCGGCACTC